GTTATTGAGCAAGCTGAGGCAGCTGTCTTAAGATAGCCTTGAAAAACGAATGTTACCTTATTACAGGGACCATAGCGGCCATGCAGTGGTATGTTAAGTACCTCCATGGAGAAGCTGCAGTGACAGCTGCACAAGGGAAAGGATGACATGTTCAGGCACTCACTGATATTTGAGAATGATTTCATGCAGGTGAATGAAGCCCTCTCCTCCTTCCGCGTTATCTTCCCTCCCCCACTCAGCTCCCTTTCTCATTCCTTTTATTTTTTTCAACAGAACACTTGTTAAGCACTACTATGTACAGTGCATGCAAAAATGTCCTCAGTGATATCTTCAAAATCATGTACAGCAGTGGTCCCCAACCTTTTTGGCACCAGGGATGGGTTTCGTGGAAGACAATTTTTCCACGGAGGGGGGTGTGTCATGGGGTGGGGTGCGGAGCTCAGGTGGTGATACACAGTCGTTTCCTAACAGGCTACAGACTGGACGGGTACTGGGCCAGGGCCCTGGGGTTGGGGACCGTAGATCTAGAGGAAACAGACAAGCTTTTTTTAGAAAAAATTTTTAGAGTTATGTATTTATTTATTTATTTTTTATTTTTTTGAGACAGAGTCTCACTGTGTTGCCCAGGCTAGAGTGCCGTGGCATCAGCCTAGCTCACAGCAACCTCAAACTCCTGGGCTCAAGTGATCCTCCTGCCTCAGCCTCCCGAGTAGCTGGGACTACAGGCATGTGCCACCATGCCTGGCTAATTTTTTCTATTTTTAGTAGAGACAGGGTCTCATATTTGCTCAGGCTGGTCTTGAACTCCTAACCTTAAGTGATCCTTCAGCCTGGGCCTCCCAGAGTGCTAGGATTACAGGCGTGAGCCACCGCACCCGGCCTAGAGTTATGGATTTATACATCTCTATTTTACAAGAAGGATTTGAAGCAGCTGTCAATTCCAAGATTTATCACTTCCTGCCACTATACCAGGGTGGACAATAGAACTAAGCTAGGGCAAGATAAGAATCTCATTCATTTTGGTTTAAAAATGCTTATATATTTATATTGTATATAGTTATTTTATTATCTTTTCAAGGATGCAGAAAAAATAATACAAAACACCCCTCGTTTTGTCAGATATTCATGTTTTGCCATGTTTACTGAGGATTTAATTCTTGAAAAATAAGGCATTAAAGGTACAGTTATGCTCCCTTGCTTCCCTTCCAGAGGTACATCCCCTTCGCCCCCTTCCCCTGGTTCTGAATTTGGAGTTTATCCTTCCCATGCATATTTTGTCCTTCGACTTTATAAAATACTAGAAAACATTTATGGATACATTCATATAAAGTCGAAGGACAAAACATGCATGGGAAGGATAGTCTTGTTTTGCATGTCTTGAAACCTTTGCTCTGTATTAACGCTGTGGGGCCCCCCCTGCAGGCTGCTTTTTATCACTGATGTTGTCTATATGGGTCCGCACAGCTCTAGAGAGCCCTTACATTCACCTGGTGCTCTCCAGCATGCAAAGGACTATAGGGTCTATGATTTCCTGTGATCCTCACAACACCAAGTGTTAGGACCGCCACCGGGCTCAAGAAGAAACTGAGATCTGGAGAGCGAATTGACTTGCCCCAAAACCACGAAGAGGCAGAGCCCGAGGTTCACTGACTCCAGGCTGGGCTAGTAGTTTATTCAGGTGATGCCAGGATGACACTGAGGATCTCATCATCAAGACAACAGGGCTGAGCCACCAGAGGGCAGGCTAGTGGGAGGGAGAAGAGAGGAGAGGAGGGGAGCTTGGAGGAGAGGTTAGAAAGGAAAGGTGGACAAGGGAGGGAAAGAAAAGGAAGGCAGAGCCAGCTGAGGAGCTGTATGGCTTTAAATCCAGCAGTGATTCTCATTCTTGCTCACTGAGATCACCTGGGGAGCTTCAAAAAGTGCTGCAGCCTGGGACCCACCCCCAGAGATTCTAAAGTAATTGGCCTACTGGGAGGCCAGAACAGCAGGATGTTTAAAAGCTCCCCAGCTAGCTGATTTGAATGTATAGTCAGGGCTGCAAACCATTGACTAAGCCGAGCAATTTGTCAGGCAGTGAATTGGCTGAGGGGGCGGTACTCAAAGGCTGGCTTGTTAACATTAATAAGATCTTAGACCTTGAAGGCTGGCTTGATAATGTGATGTAAATAAGGTATTGAGATCTTAGGCCTGGCTTCTATTGACAGAAATGGGCTAAAATGAAGGAGGTGACAATCCAGTTTTCTTAGTGCTGTTCGCACTAGTCTTAGACTATTATGTTCACTCATTGGGGCTTTGACTTGAAGGAGAGACCAGCAATTTTCACGATGAATGCCAGTAAACCCCAACAGAGTAACAGAATTCAGCAAACACTCTAAATAATTTCTTTATGCTGGGCCTGTGCTGCAGGGAAGGAAGACAGAGATGGGAAAATCACAATAAGTGCCTTCCAGAAGTTCCGACTAATGGGCAACCCAGACACATATATGGGCAATTAACACAACATGCTAAGTGCTAGAGATAAGTCCAAGGAGGGAGGGACCAGAGAGCAGAGAACACCTAACTCTGTCTCAGGGATGCTGGCAGAGGGGCTCAGAGTAGGCTTCACAGGAGGGCTGCACCGGTGAGTGGAGTCTTGAAGGATGAGTAGGAGTTGGTGAAGGGTGTGTCTTAGGCTGAGAGTTAGGAAGAGCACGTGTAAAGGCATGGTGTGGTGGAAGCACAGGGAATACATGTGTGGTGAGGGAGAAGCAGGGTTTGAGGCTGTAAAAGTGGGCCTGGTGGGCCATGCCCAGGAGTCCTTGCTTGGCCCTGTAGGCAGCAGGGCATCATGGAAGGGAGGAGTGTGGGGAGAGGGGGGAGGGCCTCACAGAGGAGGAGGCACCCAAGCTGGGTCTTGGAAGAGGAGTAGAAATTCACCGGGCAGGGATGTGGGATGGAGATGAAGGTTTCCCAGGTTGGGGCAGGGAGTGAGGAGAATAGCGTGAGTGAAGGTGTGGAGGCAGGAATGAGCTTGATGGTGCAGTGAGGGAACTGATCATCTCATAGGACTGATCAAAGTCATCATCTGGGGCACTATTTTTTTTTTTTTTTTAGAGACAGGGTCTTGCTCTGTCACCCAGGCTGGAGTACAGTGGCATGATCATAGGTCACTGTATGGGCTCAAGTGATCCTCCTGCCTCAGCCTCCTGAGTAGCTGTAACTATAGGCACATACCACTGCACCTGGCTAATTAAAAAATTTTTTTTTTCATAGAGACAGGGTCTTGCTTTATTGCCCAGGCTGGTCTTGAACTCCTGGCCTCAAGCAATCCTCCCACCTTGGCCTCCCAAAGTGCCGGGATTATAGGTGTGAGCCACTGCACCTGGCCTCATCTGGGTCACTTTTAAAAAATGTCAATGCTTGAGCTCTACTCTCCCCATCCCCCAAGAGATTCTGATTTATATGGCCTGGGAGTGGGGCCCAGGCATCAGTATTTTTCAGTATGTTTTCACAGTTCCCCAGGTGATCCTAATCTGCAGCTAGGCTTGAGAGCCACCGCTGTAGTCAAGATGTCAAGGACATGGGTGGAAAGGTTGGCTACAGCCACATACCAGTGATTATAAATTAGCTAATGTTTACTGAATATTAACTATGTGCCAGACACTTTGTGTGTATTAGTTCATTTAATCCTCACCACTCTATAAGGGTAGGTACTATTATCCTTGTGTCACAGATGAGGAAACAGTAATTTGCTCAAAGTCAGATGCCAAAGTGGCAGGAAGTCTGGCTTCAAGCCCTTCTAAAAGGGCTTGTATTCCAGGCCAAAGAGGTTGGGTTTTCTTTTGCAACCACCTTTATTAGTTCAGTGTGTGTCTGTCCAGAATTTCTACAGGCAAGTACAAATACATATTCCCCTCTTTCTTACACAAAGACAGTATACTCTTTACACTGTTCTGTGCCTTGCTTTTATTAACAACATATCCTGGAAATCTTTACAAATCAGTATATAGAGAGCTTTCTCGTTTTTTTAATAGCTCTTTAGCATTCCTTTGTGTGTATGTACTCTAATTCATTAATCTCGGATTGTTTCCAGTTTCTGGCTATCAAAATGCTGTAATGAATAATCTTGTATATGTATCCTTTTGCATATTCCCAGAAATGGAATTGCGGGGTTGAGGGTTAGGTAGATGTGCATTAGTAATTTCAGTACATGTTGCCAAATTGTCCTCCCTAGGTGTTGTACTGTTTTGCATTCCTACCTGCAGTGTGTGACAGTATGTAGGCACATTTTAAAAGAATTATTTAGTTTTTGTTTTTTATTTTTTAGAAATGGGGTCTTGCTATGTTGCTCAGGCTGGTCTCAAACTTCTGGGCTCAAGTGATCCTCCTGCCTCAGCCTCCCAAGTAGCTGGGACTACAGGTGCATGCTACCATGTCTGGCTTAAGAATTACTTAACTTTTTTTTTTTGTTTTGTTTTTGTGAGACAGAGTCTCACTCTGTTGCCTGGGCTAGAGTACCATGGTGTCAGCCTAGCTCACAGCAACCT